TTAATGAAGCTGTGTGGCTATACATACATGTGGACGTCTTTAGAGGGCAAAGCTTTGTGACAGAGTGTTGGTGTGTGTCAGATCTAAATGTGCTGTAGAATTTGGGGGGGCAGTCCAGACTCCAGACAGAAATGAATAAAAGTGAGGCAGTCAGCCTGAAGCTGAGCTGAAGCATCAGGCTTTCTGTATGTGTATGAGTTCTTGTATGAGTGGGGCTCCAGGCTTGGATATCTGTTATCACAGCAGCACTTTCATACGGAGAAGGCAGAGATGAGAGACAGAGACGAGCTGAGGAAAGCCATAGAGCAGAGTGAGCGACTCCTCTCCAGGGTCCGTGAGCTGGAGGAGCAGAACACCCAGCTCAACCAGGAAAAGAATGAGGTGGCCACTAAATACCGAGCTGTAAGTCTGCTGCTCTGCTCCATCTCCGTCTTTGCTTCTCCTTCACTTCTCTCATTTTTTCCCATCAATACGTTCTTTCAGTTCACTCATTTGATACCTTAGAACTCACATGATTTGCAATTAAGTCTGAAATTCTGCTTGATAAGGGATTTTGAACATGATCATTATACCAGCCCCGGGTGAACGAAATTAAGTGGATAATGATACCCTAGTAGAGGGAGACAGAGATGCAGCCACCGTGGCACTCGCTGTGTTTGAGCTTGTTTCAATGCTGTGGGTTTTTACTGCTGTTGACCATTTTCCATCTGATCGTTTTATTGAGAGAAGTACGGAGTGTATTCTTTACCCAGATTAATGTCATGCTGCTGTGAGGCACCATGCTGTTTCCTGGCTTGAGGTGCACTGTATGACTGACTGGTTTACTACATGGAGTGCTGTGTGAGTGGCACATCTCCTTTAATTCCCTTTGTTTGGGAGGAGGTGTTACCACAAGTTTTATTCTGACTCTTCAATCCATAACTATATTGATTGTTGGAAAGACTGAAACTTTAGCTTGCTATAGATGTTTTTAAAGCAATATATAACAGTGTTTATCCATTATGATAATTTTAAGCTGCACTAACTAGTGTTTGAACAATAGACCAGTTGAGTTAGGAGTTAGTTGTGACCAGCTCACTAAGGCTACGTTCAGGCAATACTCCTCATCCCAGTCTTTTTGTCAGATCTGATTTTTTTTTGTGTTGATGGCTCACAGTTGTGTTTGTAAATGACATACTGTAAATCTCTGATTTGAACACTGTTAAGGTCCTGTTGTATTGAGCGAGGAATAATGACAGTGTTTATTTTATGTTTTCAAACTGGCAGTTGGCAACCGTAGCACAACACATATTTTACAACAGTGTTTCTAAGTTATCATGTGTTTGAGTATGTTTTTTTTATTCTTTTGGTAAAAAAAAAACTAAACTGAAAACATGAATGACAGGTCCAATAAAGGATCCTTTATGCCACAAAGCTGGGTATTTGGCCAACTTGGACTAGATCCAAAATAGAAGCGGGTATCCCTACAGGATTTTATTCAGAGATTAATTTAAGTGCTTGGAGATAACTTCTAAGTTGATGATAATTATTGTTTAGTTAGTGTGGTTGTTGAAAGTGAGTGTGTGGAGGAGTGACAAAAGATTTAGTGTGAGGGTCTGGAGCAGCACTGCTGTTGCCAGCATCTGTTGGAGGCGCTCCAGGGCTGCCCATGGGATTTGATCATTATAACAAACTACTAAGACACTGCTGAGCGCCTTAGCAGACTATCCAGACAGCTTCGAAGGAACACATCATAAATTGCTTCAAGGAGCTGGACAGCAGTATTTTACTGTCTTGATGTGACAACAGCATGTGTCACTGTTGATTTATGTCTGTATGCACCTTGGAACGCAATGACCTTTAGCAGGTATCATCTGTATAGTCTGAGTCTGTATTAGCTGACTTACAGTTGGTGATCATCCCATTACTCAGAAAACCATTAACTTATGATTTTTCCTTGCTGATACAACAAGTCACTCTAGAAAGTGGGATCACTGCCACTGGCTTTTTTCCTCGACAGCTCTCATTCTTCTAGATACTTTTATGAAAGTCTTTAATTTCAGTAGATGTCAAGTATGAAGTCTATGACCCTGCTTTCCTTTATATTACCCTTTTACAGACAATATCACTTTTTTAAAATTTAAAACCACCAGTTGTGCTATGACTCTATCCATGTCTTTTCTTTACTGCTTAGATTAGTCAACCATAAATAATGTTGTTAATGTACAAAAGGAGACAGGTCTGCCAGCACAATTCATACCTTGGAGCTCTTCTGATGTGACTGCAGTGGGAAATGTGACCCCTTGTCAGAGCTATTTAGTGCCTTTGCTGCCTGTTGGATGTTTTCCAGTTTTCCAGTGGAAGTTTGTCCCATTCCTCATTATCCAGAGGCAGGAGGGACACCTCACACAGCTGTCGTCATGGGCACGATGAATTCCTGCTTCTTAATCGGGCTTAATGCACTGCTGCCCGCTTAGGTCAACACTCTCTGTACATCTAACATTCTTTGGACTTATTCAAGGAGTTATTCAAGCAGTTACACTTGAAAGTGGAGTGGAAAATCAGCCATTATAAAGGAAGGACGGATGTGATATTCTTTTAAAGGGGGATAACGTGGCCCATTAAGAGTGTTGTAATAGTTCCACTGTTCAACTGAAAAGTGCCTGAAATACAATGCAAAAAAAAAGAGTTTGAGTGCAAAGTTCAAACCCAGTGTACTTTCTCACCTCACTCATCATGTCACTCGTTGCAGTGGTGTGGCTCACTAGTGTGTTTTTAATAGTACTGGACAGCAATGGAGGATGTGTAGAAAAAAACAAAAACAGAGAACACTATCAGTCTTTAAAGTCCAATTTAATAACTCCAAAAGAAAATCTGGATAGTTAGCCTGACTTAACAAAAGTCTAACCATGCTAGCAGCTCTGTGTAGGCTATTTACAAACTGAATGATAGACTAAGCGCCCTTTCTAGAAAGTGCCACCATGGGAAACTCAGAAAACCAGAGGGAAAAGATGTTGATAACCTTGAGAAGTGCAGCACAAAGTCACCAGTAAAATAAAACAAAGCTAAACAAGGAATTTGAGCTACTACTGTGAAAAAAGGGAGAAAAGATGTTTCTTTATCTGTCTATGGTACAAAAGGATATAAATAGAGAAAAGACCACTGGTTACCCCTCACTTACAGCTAACAGGAAATGAATGTGGAGTGTTCCTGCAGAGCTGTCCAGATGCCCCAGTTCTGCATGTGGAAAAACTTTCAGTCTGCACTGGCTGTGAAGTTTCTAGAGCCCAAGGCAAGCTGTGGGACAAAAGATTGCTGTGGAGAGGTGGCTGGAGAGGAGCATGAAAAGAGACGAGGGGAAAAAAGACTGGCTTGATGTTCAGTGGCAAGAGGAAGGAAGAAAATGACTGAAATTGGTGAGGGGAGATAAACTCTGAGGTGAGTTTCAGGTGAACACCTAATCTCTCTATTGGTAATGCAAAGCTGCAGGCTATGTCTAAGGTTTAAATTTTCCAGACCTTTCATTTTCTTCTGTTCTCTGCTTTGAACTAGGACTTTTATTCTTTTAATAATAATAAAAAAAGCCTGTTCAAATAAAAACTATTTGAATATCTTGGCTTTAGCCATGTTAGTGGCATTAACAGCAGTCTCCACAAATAGGAATAGACTGGAACCAAATGTATGGTGGCTGGGTGTTCTGATGATCCTTCCCTTTTCATCTGGCACCACCATGAGGCTGACATTTTTGGTTTTTAATAGCCCTTTAATTACTGGAAATTAATAATTCCTAGAGGACAAATTAAAATTTAAAAGCATCAGTCAATGAAGAGTTTCAGTTTGTTTACTACTTTTATTTAAAATTACGAGCATAATGTAGCCCACAAATACTCATTTTTTTGTGGGTGGCACTAAAATTACTGACATTTCCATCAGCCTGACTTGTAGTCTGCATTTAATGCTAATTAGCCAATGTTAGCATGCTAACACTCTAAACAAATATACTGAAAATGATAAAGATCATATGCTGAAGCTCAGCATGTTAGTGTTTGTGGGCATGTTGCCTTACAGACACATGACTAAGCGTAGCCTCACAGAGCCTGATAATGAGCTTGGGTTAAATGCTGAACCTGCAGCCTCCTCTTCCTTCCAGTGTTATCACTCATCTTTCCTTTAGGATGTAAAGAGGCAGCTGCCAATAAAATTCCAGGTTTCCTACCTTATGGGGACACTATTATGAACCCTGAGACTCAGAATGTGGGTTTCATTTGGCACAAATGAGCTAAACATTGTCAGAGATCATCTGTATAACTAGAGGGCTTTCCTGCAATGCTTTTATCTTCAGTAACCATGTCCTTACATTACTTTATGACTCTGTAATCAGTATCACCTGCAAGTCAGATCTCTTGGCATGTAAATGAATAAGAACAGCAGAGCAAACAGGAAAATGGATTTCCTTTACAGTGTTTCTTGGTTCCAAGCCTTAGAGTTTATATGTGCATTTGAATTAGTCAGATGCATGTATCTTATTTACTGGCAGTTTTCACTTGTCAGATATGAAAGTTGGTGTTGGACATGGGCGGTGTCTGGAGAGGGAGCCTGGACAGGCTCAGTGTCTCGAGCTTCTCCAGTAGGACTCGCATGAAGAGATCTCTCTGTGCTGCCTCTGTGCACAAGGACCACAGTGTCAAAATAAAACAATGTGAATTCTCAGAAATCCATGGTTTCTTGTTATTTTGGTGGCTGGATGTCCTCCACTGCTCAGTGGCATTGGTGCTTATCCTTGCTCTTATAACTGTGTCTACTTTGAGGCAGTTTTAGAGTCAGTGTTATTCTTTCTTTGTGTAGTTTAAAAAGGTTGCAGTTCACAACATTTGATGAGAATCACTATTGATATCAAGTGCTGTACAAGGAATGTGCTGAAATGTGCCTTGGTTTTATACAACATGTGGTGTACAGTAGTTTTATGATTTCACATCAATGCGGTTGAATTTGGGTTTGCCATTTTTCGATGTTTTATGTTTTATGTTTTATACTACAAGTTTTCAAATCTGCTCATTCTAGAAATCAATCCATCCATTATCTGTACTGCTTATTCCTGAATAGAGTCACAGGGGAACCCAATCCCAACTGACACTGGGCGAAGGGCAGGGTCCACCCTGGACAGGTCGCCGGTATATCACAGGGCTGACATTTAGAGACAGACATTCATACATTCCCATGGGCAATTTTAGAGTCTCCAGCCAAACTAAGCTGTATGTCTTTGGACTGTGGGAGGAAGCCAGAATACCCAGAGAAAACCTATGCAGGCACAAGGAGAACATGCAAACTGTGCACAGAAAGACAATGAGAGGGCCAGGGCTCGAACCCAGAATCTTCTTGCTGTGAGTTGACTGTACTAATCACTGCACGACCACGCCGCCCACATTCTGTAAATGTTATATTCATAATAAAGTCCATATATCTTGCAGGTGCAGTGTTTTTAAAGTACACATCTGCACATCAAGACACTGTATAATGTAAATATATGGCCCTCTGTAGAGCCATTTATCTAACAAAAACTACAATTCTTCTCGTACCTGATAATTTAGGTGTCTATTTATTACATATATTTTCCCCTTCTTTCTTATGAGACATAATTCACTTTACTTTTTGGCTTAGCATACCACAATTCTCTAGACTTCATACAGGTGGACAAACATTTTTAACTCATGATCCTCTTATTAGGTTTTTCAGCAGATGGAATTTATTTTGTTTTCCATTCTGAATGGCCTCCTCTTTCTATTTATCTAGAGGATAGCATTCATGTAAACCTGGGGTTAAAAATTCCAAAAAAGCTAGCAAGTGAATCTTGAATTTGGATTTTTTTTTGTTTGTTTATTGCTTTGTCAGCTGAAGTTTCCAAGGTCAACAATAAACAGTCAAAATCCACATTTATAACTATTATAATTCTTGCTAAGTATTTTCAAGTCCAAGGAATTACTTTTACAATCAATTTATAGGATTGTTCACTCTGTTAATTATGAATGTACAGTATAAATTTCAACATTTAATATGAGTATCTATATTTGTAGTCAGTGCATGTCTTCATTTCGACTGGGAATATTAAAGATCTATCATATCATTTTTGCCTGATGTTGACTGTAGAAATATTAAAATGCCTGGTCTAGACTTTGAGGGTCTTGGTGGCTTCATACAAAAAAAAAACATCTAGACTTGTATCTAAAGCACAATATGCCTCGTTGTTCTTTCTAAGATGAATGCCATGGCATTGTGGGAGATCATGTGGGCGTGGTTGCCCAAGACATTTATGTCAATTACAACATTGACTGTGTGGAGTAAAGGCATGACTCTGGAATGCTGCCCTTGTTTTCTTGTCTTTGTGTGGTGTGGCTTTGATAGTACAGCTGAGGACTGCATTTCTGTGGCCGAACAACACAACGCTAAAGGTTTTTCTCCTGGCCTGACATCCTAAATCAACGGCCATCCCCTTGCGGCGCTTCTCTGGAAAGGCACCTGTTTCTGCGGGGAGGGAACAGCAGTGAGGAAAGAAGACAGGAGAGGTGGTCATTGTGATAAAACACTGTCTAAGAGTGTGCTGAGCACTGGCTACCTGCATGGGGTTGCGAGAAACAGCAGCAAACCGTGGACAGGCTGGAAATACTGTATGTTTGAAGGAATGATTGGATTTCAGTAGCATATACCAGCACAAACTTAGATGATTGGTTGATTGAGAGGAGAGAAAGAACAAGAGAGATCACAAAAAGACTCAGAGAGGACCAAGAAAAAGAAGGCTGACAGATGAAGTAGCATGAGGAACGTGAGCTGAGCTACAAGTGTTGTGTGAGAGGACTACCTGTTGCTCCTTCTGAGACCCACCCGGAACCACCAGTACTGCTGTACATCAAGCAAAGGAAGAGAAAAAGAAGTGATCAAGTCTCTCTGTTAGAACAGGCAGGCAAGTTGCTACATTGCCAAACAGGTGAAGTCAGCAAAGCAAGATAGCGTATAGACTGGACGAGGTGTCGTCAAGATGATGTCTGTGAGACTCTGTGAGCGTTGCCACTCCTTCTCTGATGACTCTGAGGAGGCCAATAGAAACCATGCAGATCCTGGACCAGAACCAGACCCTGAAGAACTGGACTGGGATAGCTATAGTACCACACTGGAGCACAGATTAGCGACCGTGGGTATCTCTGCCGGTGTTTGAATACAGTGTGTTGGGTTTGATCGCGACTGTTAGCTAGTGGAAATCTTTAAATCTCTGGTCAGAGTATGAATAGTAGCGACTTTCCTACACTTTATGACAAGATAGCTATTTAACATAAGTAGCTGAAGACAAAATAAATAAGCCAAGCTTTTCTAAAGGTGCCTTTAAACAACCAGCTCCTGCAGCAAGCCACGTAAATACATCTCAGACAGTAACGCTGAGAGACCCAAATCATATCACCCATACATCCAACCCGAAAGTGAGGAAGTCAAGTGATGCATTACTGCCTAACACAGCTAGCTTTCTTCTAATTTCCTTGGTACTATACCCTAAATATTATCCTGAAAAATGAAACGGTTGCTTAATATCAGGTTTATAATACTTGTAGTGTGAACTGACATGCTTGCCAACACCGGCATATGTCAATAAAAGACAATTCCACTAACAAAAAGGAAACTGTCTTAACTCTCTTAAACTGTCATTTTAGCTGTTTTTCTTAAGGCTTGATTTAAGACTTCTCTATCCAAAGCAGCACTATCCCTGGGCAGGCTCTTTTAATACACCAACATGAGTGGACTTGTGTCTGTGATTTGCATATGTGTGAACACACCTGTGTGTACAGACTGACTGTACATGGCCTTTGTGAACTCAAGCTGTGACTGATCTCGTCCAGTAGCCACTAAAAAAGGTTCAAACTGCTTAGGAAAAGAAAGTTTCAAAAAAGGCAGGGACAGAGTACAAACCAAGCTCTTTTATGGAAATAAATGCTGATGGAAATGTGGTCAGCTGATAATTTTATAAATAACCAGATATTTGGGTTTGCTGTTAGCACACTGCAAATGCCTTGCCCATGATGACTGGTCCTTTAGGAAAGTAACAGTAAGTAGAGCAGGCTTTCACAGTCCTCTCACTCTTGTTATGGATAGCTGTTGTTTAAGTGACATGCTTATCAAGTCAGCACTATGCATCGCTGCGCTGCCTTTTAGGCTCTAATACTGTACATTAATGCAAATGCAGACTAACAAAGGCATGGTTTCTACTGGCTTGAGGGAGGAGAAGTTTCAGCTTGTGGCATAATGGACGGTAAGATCTTCTTTGTCTTTATCTTCGCTTCGGCTTCTTTTATTCATCTGATCCCTTCATATTAACTTTTTATCCCTTAGCCTTTCACTAATTTTCTGGTCTTGCTTCATCTGACCTCACTTGTTTAATTTAAATTAACTTGTTAATTGCCTCTCTAAAACTACAGTACATTTAGAGTTTACTTTGAAAAATGTTAAGATAAAACAACTACTGTATGAACTGACTGCAGAAGCAAAAGAGTTCTGCAGATCTAATTGTTTAAATGTCATGTAACATGATTACTGTTGATGTTTAAGTGCTTTAAAAAGCATAAAAGCACTGAGTGATAGAAATGCAGTCAAAACCTAGACATACAAGCAGGTATATCAGGGTTTGAGGAGCGCAGCAAAGCACAGTAGTAAAGTAGGGCACAAAATGAATATTATCTGATCCAAAATCTGAGCTATGTACTGCATGAAAATGAAAACTATTGCATGTAATTCAACACTGTATTGACCGATTCAGAGCTGCACCTAACTCTTTGTATTTGTTAACCTCCAGGAGCAGGAGAGCGCCCAGGCATCTGAGCAGCGCTGCATCCATCTGGAGAAGGCCCGGCGTGAGATGGAGCGGCAGCTGTCAGGCCTGTCAGAGCATCTGGAAGAGGAGGAGGCCTGCTCAGCCCAGCTGGCCCTCCACAGGGACAGGCTGGAGGCTGCGTGCAGCAGCCTCAGACAAGACCTGGACCAAATGGAGAGTGCCCTGACTTTGGCTGAGCAGGGCAAACAGGTAGATCATTATGGGATTTTCAGCCTCTTGGAGTTGATGATGACTTACTGAATTGTTACTTGATCATCAGGAGCATAATGTAGCCAAGAAGACAGCGGGCACACCTTGTATTTAAGTTTCCAAAGGCCTCCAGATGATGGCTTCTAATGAAAGTTTAAAATAGCAAATACACAATGTGCTCTTTTTTAGATTAGGTCTACACTTAAAAATCAGCATAGGACATAATATAGGTAGTCAACCAGGCTGTGACATGAATTGACTATTTGGACTATTTGATGTATTTGTGAAGAATTAATTGTCAGGATACAAATTAGCAGGACATCTCCATTCTGTCTTGTCTGGAGCTGGAAGGCATGGTTGCATGTGAATGACACTCAGCACCAATTCAGCAGTTACATATTTTGTCACGTTGGCACTATAACGGCACACAGTTATGTCCTGAGCAATGTGAGTCCATGCATAGTTTTTCTTCTCCTTTAAGCTTCACATTCTGTAGGCAGATTGCGTTACCAGATTTGACACGGTCCATGAAGCCCTGTGATCAAGTAGGCCTAAGCTCCAAGAGGGTGGGCCTAGGCTAACCTAGCCCACCCTCATCTTTGCATATGCTTTGAACATTGTTGTCTTACTGTCCACCCTCCAAGTCCATGAAAAATTGGTGCACTGTTGTGGAGTGTGGAGGCGTTTTCTGATAAACTTCGGGAATGCAGTGGGCATGCAGTGATGTGTTTTGGAAAGCACCAGCTTCCTATGCTCCCTTTGTTGTGTCCTCACATAGCAACCTTGCACTATCATTTGCATATGGTCAACTCATGAACAGAGACTTTAACCAGCTACGATGATTCCTTTAAGCCTTTAGCTGTTACTCTGAGCACAGGACTAAATGGTCTACATTTATACAGTTTGTCTGACTGTGGGCTGATCAAATTCTCATAACACTTTCCACCTTTATGCAAATAAGCAATTCACATTAGCAAATGGTTCTTGTGATTAACACAATCAAAATATTTGTGTTTTTTTTTTTTAAGTCAGAGCAGCTCTAACCCACACGTCACTGACCAACCTCCAGGTTTGTTAACTTCATTTAGCTCATTAACCGCATACTTTTTCCAGCCTACATTAAATGTTTGACTGATATTATCAATATGGACAAAAATACAAAGACTTGTAGTAATTACATACAATAATTTGTGTTTGTAAATTATACCTTAGATGAAGATAAATTTATGTTAAAATGCAAGCCATTCCAAAAGTTTTTTTTAGGGTTTTTTGTTTTGTTTTGTTTTTGCAATTGTATACATGCATTTACTGTACATATACTGTATGTAGTTGCTGAACATTGACACTACCTGTCTCAGTTTGACATATGCCTTCACGAACCCTTTAAATCACTGGATTTTTTTACCACAGTGAAGCAGTGTCTGTGTGTAGACACTAACTAGGCTGCTCGGACATCTCACCAGGGTGTATTAAAGGATTAAGATTCTATATTAGTCAAGGAATGCCACAAAAGTGTCTATACTCACTACATGGTAAATGAAGACATGAAAAGAGATTTTACTGGCATAAAATGTTGTTGATTTAACCTCTGCAATTTTACACTGATCCATTTGATCTGGGTCACAAGGTTAAGAACTTGATCCTCTGGTTATATAAAAGTTTTCTTGGCTCCTTGCTAGGGCACATGGTAAATGTACTGTAAGAGAGAAGTGTGAGAGGACTGGCACAGTGGATGCAACAAGACCAGACCTGTGTAATAGCAGAGTTGAACACTGAAAATAATGACATGGTCATGTTTAATATTTGTTGTGTGCTGCAATAATACTCATGATGGCGGGACATGAAGTGATTGATTCAAAAGTGGTACAGGTTTAAGCAGAATACAGTCATCTGCCTATTCAGAAATGTGTTGTATAAATATATATATATGGGCCTTTTTTAAGAATAGACACACCACTTTACACTACCATACAGTATATCTCAGTCTGCTGGTTTGCTTTTGCCCTTCAGTGCTCCAACAGATTCTAAACTATCACACTTGTCTCATTAGGTCCTCCAGTTTTCAATAGGAGCCACACAAAGATATAAAGCTTTGATGTTCAGAAAAAAAAATTGAAGCAAAATAATGGCATCTGTTTCTGTCATGAAAGGAGATAATTGTTTTACTGTGTGGCTGGAAAACCAGAGCCTGCAGATCAAAACCGCTGTATTCACAAGCTATTGTGGCTGCTTGCCCAAAGGGAACACATTAGCATCCACAGAAAGGAGCAGAGGTGAACTAGAAGCAAATCTTACATGGCAAACGATTCACAATTGATACTGTGTTTTTGGTGGTATCATCCACTGTATGTATTACGTGTATATGAATGTATCTTATTAAGAGCATGTAGTTGCTAAAGCCATAGACAAAATTCTTAAAGTGGCTTTTTGTCCATGAACGTTCTGTCTCAGTCATCAGACCGTGAGGTGAGGAGGCTGTCGGAGCAGCTGTTTCAAAAGGATGAGGTGGTGCAGAAGCTCCAGAAAGAGAAAGAGCATCTGGTGGAGCTCAGTCAGGTGAGAGCACAGTAAGTGTTGTTAAGGTTAAGGGTAGGCTATTGCTGTACAGCCTGCAGTATTTAGTATCAATATTAAAGGGCCATTACAGCAATTTAGTATTGCACTTCCATGAAGCTGGGACTTTAAAGAGCCAGATGAAAAAACAAAGATCACAAATGAAGGAGCAGAGGCTCCAGTGTGGGCCAAGATCCAATAACACAGCATCTTCCAGTCCCCTTAATGCAAGCAATAGCATATTTTTGGCTGATAAAAGCCTATATATTTCAAACTTTCATGCCTCTGATTTGTAATGTATGCCTCTAAGGCAAAGGTGAGAAATCACTGATGACATGGAGAGTAGCGGGACACATACATGACAAAGACAGAAGACACTCTTCTTCTTCTTCTTTTCCTGCTAGGGGTCGCCACAGCGAATAATCTGTTTCCACCTAACTCTATCCACAGCATCCTCTACTCTCGCCCCAATTAAACTCATGTCCTCTTTTAGCACATCCATCTGCCAGCTCGCTACCTTTCCTTGTCATTGTGCCAACGTTAAGAGTCCCTATTCTCAGACCTATACTCCTGCCTTTCCTCTTCTCTCTCTGTCTACGAATCCTTCTACCTCCTCTCCTTCTCCGACCAACAGTAGTCTGATTTCCGCCAGCACCCTGTAGGTCAACAACACTGGTGGCGGTCGTTAATCCGGCCCTCGACCGATCTGGTGTGGAATTCACACTGATGATTTGCATGTTTAAATTTGGCATGGTTCGCCGCAACCCTCTCTATTTATCCGGGCTTGGGATTAAATTCAAGAAAGTCACTTTCGGCTGTTCCCGTTTTTAGAGGTTGCCACAGCGAATCGTCACACTGACGACTCGCATGTTGACATTTGGCACGTGTTTTACGCCGGATGCCCTTCCTGACGCAATCCTGATTAGGCGAGAGCGCTGCGCCTTAACCACTAGCCTACCAGGGACAAAGACAGAAGACACTATACAGTAATTTTCACTGACTGAACTATATGACATATGAAACTAAAGGTGTCCTATGAGGTTTTCTTATAAATGACCAAAATTGTTTATATTTAGTGCCTCTTAGCAAATTGTATTTATCCTTGAGGCCAAAAAAGTGTTTTTTAAACGTAACTCCATCATAAAACATTAATTTGTGCATTGTTTAGACATTTATATAAAATATACACCATTAATAAAATCTGCTACATTTAGAGGGAACCTGTAGCTCCACTAATTTGAACTCTTACTTTTGCATGTGTAAAAAGAAAATGGAAATATTACAAAATACACAACAAAGTTAGTCAAATTGTAATATAAATGAATTTATCGATCCATCCATCCATTTTCCTCTGCTTATCCGGAACCGGGTCGCGTGGGCAGCAGTCTAAGCAAAGATGCCCAGACTTCCCTCTCTCCAGACACTTCCTCCAGCTCCTCCGGGGGAATGCTGAGGCGTTCCCAGGCCAGCTGAGAGACATAGTCCCTCCAGCGTGTCCTGGGTCTTCCCCGGGGCCTCCTCCCGGTGGGACATGCCCGGAACACCTCCCTAGGAAGGCG